AATTGGCGAGACATCACGCAGACTTGAGGTGCATAAAACAAGTCTTATTCAACCAAGTACACAGCACTGTGTCTTGTTTGCAGAATGGCTGCCCGAACGATCCGCTGATTTTTCTATCCCGATCCGGCTGTTTTATCTTTGCTCGATGACTAATGCACGTGAATTTCCGACCAACGAACGTGAGTTCGCACTGTTCACGTAAAATGTGCAAAAGACAAACAGTGACGATGTTCGCTGAATTTTTTCTTCTGCCTGCGATGTTGGCAGGAGCAAATCACGAACCAATAAGGCGGTTTCCATCGGGAATGCTGGAACATATTGTTGGGCAATTATTTTCCATTTTACTCCGTCCCTGTGCTTTGAACTTCAGTTAATAATATATAATGCAGTAACTTACATAAATATGTCCACGTATCTACAGATGAATCAGGCGTCTCGGGAGAACGCATGAACCTGTTGTCTGATATTTTAAATTTTATTTCTAAATATTGTGCGGTCTAAGATGAACATCTTCAGGAAAGCAGTTCGCGGAAGTTATTTGAAATCTCCTACGAAGTGAAAGCATGATCGGCTTTGCTCTATATGGTAACCTCCGTTAATTTTTTCTCAGTCTCCACGTAAAGGGCAGCTTTGCCCGAGTCGCAAATGAACTGTTGTTGCTATATCACCTTTGAATTGGAATACTCGACACTTCGTCAAATCCTTTGCATAGAGCTGACTTCGCGATTGGCTCTCAGACATCCCCCCGCTTGTCGCGTCTGGAAGACGTGAGTTTTCTCCTAAGAAGCCATCATTTGCATAAGTGATCTGTGTTTGTCGGTTCCGTGGATTTTCCAACCAATCAAACTCGATGCAGGTCGTTCGAGGACTTATCGTCGCCGCATTTTTTCTCCCCACTAATGAAACTTGATCACACTGCGCCTCGCACAGTAACTCAATGTGCCACATTTCCTCGTACTCCGGACATAGAATTACAACATAGTAACACGCTGACTCGATTCAAGGTTTGCCTGGCAACGACAATAAATTAAGAGGCATTCATCAGGGGATTTGTAATGTTTCACTGGTCGCCTTCGTTTCTTGCTCCGGGGCGCCTCGCTTGTTATGAATCACTTCGTTTTACTGCTGTCAATTGACAAGTGAAGATAAAAAAAAAAGCAGCGTGCATTTTATTCGTCGAGCTTCACTAATCAACTGTTGTAATCTCCCTAATGATCGCTTATTTCTACACGGTCTGTAAAATGAATTTTTAAAATCGAGGAGTGATGGTAGAAAATCCCTGACAGTGGAAACTCGCGCACTGACACATCTGCCAATATTTTTTTTAGGTCTCCCGAGAATGTGATAGATAGTCTTAGTTGCTGTCGCAGGTTGTTAGAATCTTCATTATCGTCAAGCAATGTCGAGGAGGAAAACTAATTTCTTCGGATAACTGTTCACTAAGAAAGGGAGCGATTTTCTCCGGTGATCTTTCCTAAAATTTAAACTCCAGAAATGTTTCAAGGTCGCCCTCTTATCAAAGTATGCCTGGAGTTATGTTAATTTCCAAGGGAAAGCCGATACAATTTTGAATCTTGTACTGTAAATGACGGAAATCTTACTCCCTTGTTTTCAATGTGCACCGTAATTTCTCAGTCTCTCTGAAACTTGAAGAAACATTTTATGGTAAATCTAAAACACTTTCTTTTGCGCCAGTTTATAATTTGAAGAATCGTAAAACATGTGTCAAATTTATTGAAACGAAAACTTGAAATTTATCAATGACGGTATCAACAGAATCAACGTTGTGCTACGTATTTCTTTTTGAAAACTGATCAGCAAAAAGGTCAGAAGCTTAAAAACTTTCGCGCCTTGAATTTCCTGGTTTCTATATCTGGTTTAGATTATTCGAGTAACTATTCTGCATTCATTAGTAGGAATATTTTTTTAATGATTCTAAGATATAGCCATCAGTTAAATGGGTACACATTTTCAAATCAACCCAGAAATTAGTGTTTCGCTAGTGGGTTTATTCTGAAGTATCACAGGTGGACTGTCTTCACAATGATCTTGTCCACAACGTTCTTCTCTGTAGAAACGATTTTCTGCATACACGAATTTTTTTCTCATCCCTTGAATTCCATTGAATGAGGAGTCCACCTGTGATACAGTACGCACAAATCTAGTTTCGTTTTGTCTGAAGCTAAAATTTGCAGTTCAAAATATTGAGCATGAAAATTGAGGAGGTTCTTCTGTGCCTTTGACTGATGAAATTACTACAAAGCGCTGGTTGGGCGTTGTTGAAGAGCAGCTTTCATTCAGATCCCCTCGGAAGGTATTACGGAAGTACAACTTCCCTAGTTTTTCCTCGTGCTATCTTATGCAACGTCACGCTCAGGAAGCGTGAGTCCAGCATGCTCAGCCCAGGGCTAGTTTTGAGTGGATCGTGGGAAGCTATCTCCCATGAAATCGAGTCACCATCGGCCCCCATACACGAGGCAGTGCTGGAAAAATAAATAAATGGAAAGCGCTCACATTTTATCGTATCGTAGGTCTCTGAAGTGCTTCGATGGCAGCGAATGAATAAAGAGCGATTTTCCGACGCGATATTCATCTTGAAACGCCCGACGTACGCGTGGAAATATTCAAGTAAAACCGAAGAAAGACTAGGTTAGGCATACCTGCTTCAGATTTATCTTGTACAGCACATAGGTGTACGGGTAGGTTTAATTCAATGAGTGTCCATCAAATTAACGGCAAGTTCTAAGATATTGAATGGAGGCTTAGAACCGTGGAGCTTTTGACGGGGTCCAAGGCAGCGGGAATGTCAGAACCCTCCTTCTTTTCGGGATGTTCGCCAACTGGGCCTGCGTGAAGCTCGAGCCTGTGATACCTACGTGTGGAGAAGGAACCCGGAGAAATCGATTATCCGGAATGGGAGGAATCATGAAACAAATGCAGCTATTTTTTTTTTGGGCGGAACTGTGTAGGACGGATTTCATGCATCGAGGTATTGACAGGTCTCACAACAGCAGCAAGTTCTACCTTGAATGAATAGTATTTTCATGAGATGCATATCTTGTTGGTTTCACTGCAAGGGATTTCAGAGCGATTTGAAGAAAAGAATTTTTCCCAAAATCTTCGAAGTTGCATTATTTGAAGCGTTACGCTTTGAAGACGGCTGATGATCAACTCATTTTTCCATTTTTCTTGTAAAAAAATATTCGTCTTTTGAAAAGTTATTCTTTCCGAATGATTAATGTTTGTTCGCTGACAATTTAAAATCCTCTACTTCACTTGAAAACTAGGCTCATTCCGTTTTTAAATGACATGAATCTAGGGAAGTTGCCGTACCGATCAATTTTTCAACTACCACGAGAGATTTTTATTTCGTTGAGAGGAAACATCGAGGTTAGCATGACCGTGATTTAAATTTTATCCACTTTGTTTTCCTTTCTCTGAAAACCCAGGTAACTTCAATTTAAGAATCCTTTTGATCATCAATAATCGATGAAATGGTCATTCTCAACTTTTTTTCTGTTATATACCATTGTAAATCATTATTCGACTGTTTTTGGCATTTTATTTTTATTTTGGGACAATTATTCATCATCTCGAAAAATCGGAGCTGTCATATGTCAATATCCAACATTATGTGAATGTTTCGCCAAGCCTTACAGCACTTCTAGGGGAAAAGTCTGCCTCCGGATGTGTCACGTGGGAATTTCAGCACATGCATTTCTGGCCTTTTCTCGAGTTGGCGCCATTTTCCTGGTTATGATCATGCGTAGTGAGCTCGTATGCAGGGAGCGCTGATGATCACGTAGTTTCCGTCTGGTATCACTGCAAAGTGAATAGCTTGACTCGAGTAGGACATGGATCACACGAAACTGTCAACTTTCATTTTATTTGCCACGTAGATAAGATATCACGCATTCATGAATTCACGTCTATGTATTCGTTTTGTTGTTTATCCATTCGCATGGCTTCTGCCGAAGCACTGTTCTTGCCGTATTTTCAATGTTGCGGAGATATCGTCGCACTGTAGTTTGGAAGTTAGTAGATCACCGAGATTTCGGAGGAGCGATTGGATAAGATATGATTTTATTAAATGTATCAAACTTCATAATCTTAGATCTATTGAATAATAACTAATTCGCGTTTGTAAATGTGTAGCGTAATTAATTCTTAGAGAATTCAAGGGACCAGAAAAAATTCGTTGTTCAATATGAGGGAAATTCGTTGTATAGAGAACCCTCATAACACGTTTAGAGAATCCCACGGGACAAAAAATATCCTTATTTATGGAAAATCGTTGTAGAGAGTCTACCTGATTTGAGAAGACAGATGCAGGCTAATTGTAGATGAAAACAGTTTTTCTTCAGGAATGTGCGTTTACAATTGAGGCGAAAATCATAAGTAAATTGAAAATGAAAAACTATTATCGTGATAATTGCGTAATGAAAATCAGAAACGGTAAAATAGGGACTTCGAAGGCTTAAAAAAACCATCGCAAATTTCAGCTCTTCTGAATCCCTGCCCTGAACGAGTCAAAATAGATGATGCGATCCTATGACAAGATTTTGTGCGTCCGAAGCAGCAATTAAAAATTAAACAAGCGTAAAAGACCACCTCAACGTATCTGTTATTAATGATGAAATGCCAACTAATTAGCTTATTGCATTTAGATTATTATGATCATTTCGTGTACGTTTAAAGCTTTTTGAGTGAGTAACCTACATCAACGAAACTCGACTACGACGTTCTTCGACCCTCGAAGACTATTTCGTACTTTCGCTGTTTTCGGCATGCGCTGCTTCGGGCGCGCACGCTTTTTGCGAGCACGTGAAATCCTCGATCCTGACGGGGTGTCGGGGATTTAAAATAAACTGCTGATTTGGTTTGAGTTTTTTTGTTTTTTTCCTTCTGACGCTTGGTCTTGATCCTCATCATTTAGTTGTTGATTCCGGGTCTGCAATTTTTCTTTCCATCTCGACGGGGGCAAAAAACAAACAAAGCAGCGTGCGATGAACGACAGCTGCAGCGAGAACGGAGACTCGTTCGACTTGCCTAGCCCCGACCAGCCGCCGAAAAGTACCAGTGGGCCACAACACAGCGAGTTCGGGCCGGGTCGGGCCGCCGCGTCCCTAGAAATTCACCTGCGCGGGTCGCCGGAACGGGAACCACGTGCCGTTTCCTGGACCGTCGCCTGCTCCCTCACGTCCCTGCTCGGCATGAACTGCAAGTCCCGTGCTGAGGCCTTTGCTCGCAGTCTGCAAAGCAAACTACGTCACTTGGGGTCCAGCGGGTCGCAGGAGGAGGAGGAGGAGGACGACGGTGGCGCCGGTGAGAACGGCGCCGAGACGGAGCAGGACCCCGAAAACCGCCCCGTGTCCGCGCCCGAGCCCAGCCCTGAACCCAGCAAACTGCCGTGTGCCGGTAAATTCGATTCATTGATTCGAGACACGATTGCTTCTTCTCAAAAATTCTGCGAATTTAAAAATACCGGTCCTTGCATATTTTCATTGCATGTTTTCAATAGTAAAAGGTCATTGTTTCTAGATTTTTAAAGTGTAATGAAAACCAACAGTTTACGTTGAGATGTGATCAAAGACTTGAATATCTCTGATGTTAACCCGTAATGAGTAAATGAGGAATATCTTTAAAAAAAAAATACTAGCTGAAAAAGGATTCGCAAAATTCTTCGTTAGTTCGGACATTTTTCTATACTACGCCAATGATTCATATGTAGGTTCCCGAACCCGCCGAGTTTCTTTACTTGCCTTATATGGAAATGATAGCCGTACAATTTTTCGCGAGAAGTGCGTTTCATAAATGATTTCAAGGTACAGTATGTTCTGTGGGTGAGATTAAATAGGAAATTTGGTTCGATTTTCAAAAATACCAGAAGTAAGATTTTTGAGAATTTAGATTCAGGCGGAACCCTGAATTTTGCTTCCGATTCCAGCACAGGTAATGGTCAATATATTTTATCTTAAATTATTGTTCGGCTTGAATTACTCACCAATGAAAATGATTGCATGAATACTGCATTTTTTTTTAAAGAAGGCTTGCTTGACTGTAAATCTTTCTGGAAATCTTCCTTTTCCCTCTGTGTAAAGGTCATACTTCCGAGGACTTGCTTTGTTCGTTCCTTATCCTGAAAAGGGCCATTGAAAATACATAAAATTTGCCTTCCTGTTTGATCGCAATCGACAAGACTCCAATTCGCGCGATCAGCTCCAAGCAACTTTGCATAAGCAAATCGTTCAGCACATCATAATTATATATCTACATTATGATACCCAAAACTTTCTCGCGGTCCTGATTTGATAATACTGTATAGACCCGCATTCCCCAACCTTTTTGGGCCCTCGGACCAGGAAATTTCCGAAACATTTTTGCGGACCGGCAACGTTTAATAAAATGTTTGCAGATTCAGAAAGTTTTGTCTGAAAGACTTCATGGAAGGTATTCGAAAATTTTTCTGCTCTTTTGCAAAAATCAAGTGTAGAAACAATGAAGAAGCTATAGTTTAATGTCTTCAAAAAATTGAAAACGTGGGCTTGAAGAAAGGTTTCTCGGAATGAAGAATTAAAATAATTTGTTTCCGCATGTGAAAATTTGTCAGAAGTGTTATTAGGAGAAAAGTCAACTTTTATTTTTCATCAGATAATTTCAACTGCGATTTTCTTCTCGAAATGTCAGATAAAGATAACATCTTCATTGCTACTTTTTATAATTTATTATGCTCAAGAAAATTTCCCGCCGACCGGCAGAAATGCGGACCGTCGCCGGTCCGCGGACTACGGGTTGGGAAAGATTGACATAGACCATTAATGAGTTCATGCTTTATTTCAAGGTGAAAAAACGTTCACCAAGTCGTAAGGTCTAAATAGGAATGCCAGAATAATTCAGAATTCAATGAGCTGGGCCTAGAATTACGAAACTAGTATAGTACTGCGCTCGTTTAGTGTTTCTCGATATTTGTTTTGCAGATGTGATATCGATTCCTGGTGAAACAGCGGTTATGAAATAAATTAAGATGCTATCTGAATTTCTTGTTCGATGTAATAGAGAATGATCGTCTGCATCAATACAGTACTCTGAAAACGCGTTTATTCATTTTATACGAACAGCAGAATAGCTAAAATGCGATAGTAAAGACTACAGTGTTGTATACTGAAGAAAGGCTATGCAGTTTAAATGTTTAATGTACAGTATATAAAAAAAAATTATGTTGCCCATTATGGATAACAATATTTTTGCTTGGGTAGTTGCCACTCACTGGTGGGCAAGATTTTCAATCAACAACTTTGTTTTTGGGTTCCACTATTGTTGGTTTGCATAGCACAGCTGTTGTTGCGCGGAAGGGTTAATTGGGTTCGGATGGATTTTTGTTCTAAAAAGGGAAAATACTTCTTTCTCAGTCTTGTATCAGAAAATTTTGAACCTCTGCAAACGAGAGTTGTTCAATTAGCTCATTGTTGGTTTTTTGCTAAATCCTTGAAGGTGTAATCCGTGGTAGAACAGAAAAATCGGACCTATTCTTGAACTTTCGTATCTCTTTCTTACACTTGTTTAAAAATTTTCACCTGAAAAAATTCGGCAAATTTTCCTGAAATTTAATGACATCAAAAGTCCGGCTTGGCAGTTTTAGTTCACATTCAATCATGAGGATAAGTGAATAAGCTTTAATGTGGCGAATTTTATGTGGCAACTACGCCGTCCGGAAGATGAGGTGTGAACATTCGGAGGAAACCCGACGTTTTTCTTCTCTGTATCTGGCAGAACCTTCGCGGAAATGGAGGAACCCTCGGACCCTCAACATAAGTTTCACCCATAATTTAAAATTGTAAAGCATTAAATGTTGACTTCCACTGCACAGGTAAATTTTAGAGACTTCCTTCGTAAGGCGCAATTGGTAAAAATGAGGTATTGTGCGATAACATCCATATGATATTGTATGGATGTGTAAGGAGTTCTCATCTTTCTTTTAGATTTTAAAATTTTTCGAGTAAACCTTAAAAAATCCCAGAACCTTAGAACATCAAGGGCTGTGTCATGATAATTTTTTCAAGTCCCACCTACTCTGAAAAAATATATCAGAGGTCGCCTCCCACAGCATGCGACAGCCCTCGTGTAACCTGGGAGAATTGGAAGTGACCCTTACTAACTTGGGGACTGAATCTGTCGATTATCCCTTGAGTGATTGCAATGGATTCACAGGGGGGTGTCCAGTGACGTTGGGCCTGGCAAAGGACACGGGTCGCCTACTGTTCGTTCGTCGCGAGGGCGGCCGAGCGGCGCCGGAAGGCGAGCCCAACGGACGCGCCATCGACCTGTCCTTCGCTCAGTCGCCGCCCGACAGCGACGCTGGTTACTACGACTTCGACATCGGCAGTCCAATGAGTCCTGAGGATTCCTGCTCGCAGCAGCCGCTCATCAACCGCCGTGACGACTTATTGCGACAAACTGGCGACGACGATGTCGACGTTGAGAAAGATGACGACGATGGTCGCAAGTCCGGCAGCGAAGGCGGCGAGTCTGGCTGCGTGTTCTCGACGCCGGACGTTGACGGACGTCAGCAGGAATTATCGCTGGTGGACGCCGCCAGTGACGAGACGACGACTTCCGATAGCTCCGTGTCGCAGTACTTCGACGTGTCGGAGTTTTGGTGCCAGACTGCCAAATTGACCAAGTCGAATGTGTACGACGCCTACAACTCCCTCGACACCGTGCCGACACCGTGTCAGACGCCGTCTCCGCCGATCCTCGTCGTCGTCGTGGATCCGCCGCCACGAAGAACAGCCCGCCAGTGCCAGCTCAGCGACGCCTCGGAAACTTCGCCGGCACAATTGCGGACTTTTGAGGAACTCTGCCGCCGTAGTCTGGAGAAGGAGCACCACGAAAAGAAGCACAAGTCCGAGGCCGCCGAAGAGCGAGAAAAGCGCCTCCGTCGGTCCTCGTCTCTCAAGAGCGGGAAAACACCGCCGGGAACGCCGGGGCGGAAAAAGATCGTTCGGTTTGCCGACGTCATGGGGTTGGATTTGGCAGAAGTCCGCAGTTTCCTCGACGAGATCCCGAACGTGCCCAAATCTGCGTACAATGACCTGGACGCCGCCGTTTGCAGCACGAACGACACTTTGTCCTACACGTCGGTCGTGAGTCCGGGTGACGCCTTGGGCGTGGCGGCGCTGCCCGGGAACATGGCGGCGGCGGCGGCGCATCCGCCGACTTTCATCCTGCTGCCGTTGTTCCAGCAACCCGGGGCAGTGTATGGGTTCCTGGATCGGGTGCGGGACCACGAGGTCGTTCTCGAGAGAGCCGTCGAACGGGAAATGGCCATTGATGGTGTCGTTCGCGTGCACAATATCGCCTACCACAAGTCCGTTTTCATCAGGTGAATTCTTTCGTCGTTATTCCTGCAGTATCGAATAAGAATCGGCGAAAATCAGTTATCACAGAAAAGCCGAACTTTCCTTGTTGGCGTCTGTGTCGAGATGAAATACGTGGGAATCCCCTAAATTCCTATTTGTGTTCATGTATAGCAACTTCTGAAATTTTCATGAATTTGCTAATTCCCTGGAAATTATTTCTGTTTCCTTGACCGTCTGTTGTCCGTTGGCTATGAGGGAAATTCGCCCATTTAAAAGACCAATGATTGGGAATTCGTATACTACTCATACCGATAATCCCTGCGCTGAAAACTAATTTTATGGGGACTCGAGCCTTTCTGAGCCGCAGCAAACTTTAAGCTATACTCATCCGAAGAAGGTTGAATGTTTGTGAGTCTTATTGGCTCGATTTTTCTGTGCATTTTGGATGTGTGGAACCGTGGTCTACGGACTGGTGCCGGTCCGCGGAATTTTTTTTTAGCATATTATTCATTAAAAGTAGTGGTCAAGTCCGTTATTTTTACCTAAAATTTCAGAAGAATGATTACAGTTGAAATTATTTGATGGAAATAAAAGTTGCTTTTTCTCCTAACAACACCTCTGAGAAATGTTCACCTGCAGAAATAAATTATTTCAATTTTCCATGCTGAGAAACCTTTCTTCAAGCCCACCTTTCAAATTTTTTGGTAATATTCAGCTATAGCTGCTTCATTGGTACTTGACTCAATTTTTGGAAAAAATAAATTTTTAAATATCCATAAAATCTTCAAAGCAAGACTGTTGTGAGTCTGCAAAAATGCCATGAAACCTTGCAGGACCGCAAAATGTGTTTCGGGAATTTCCCGGTCCGCAAATTTTTTTAATGGAAATTTACCGATCCGCGGTCCAAAAAGGTTGGGGAAAACTGGCCTAGAGAGCGTTCATGGTAATTTAAAGAGGGCTTCCATTGGGATTCGAGGGAATTATTTGACCACACGGTTATACTCCTATATACAGTTTCCTCCCCATGTTTCTTCCCCTGTACAGTACTGTTTTCTCGTAGGAAGAATTTTGTGAGTGACTTCACTTCTGTAGCCGACAGCAGCGAGATTATGATGTGGGGATGAGACGAAAGCTTGAAATATCCTTTCTCATCGTCGAGGTTGCTTCGAATACTGATGGAATCGTTTGCGTCTCAGGTATACGGTTGATGAATGGATAACATCCCGTGATCTCCACGCATCCTACTGTGAATGCTCCTGCGACGGGTTCTCGGACAAGTTCACATTCACGATCTACGCGCATTGGATGCGCGAGGGGCAACGGGTGCAGTTCGCAGCTTGCTTCCAGGCCAACGGTCAGCAGTACTGGGACAACAACTACGGAAACAACTACATTTTCCAATGCTACAATGGACCCGGTGCGACGGCGCCGACGTCCTTGTCGACAGATGGCGACAACTGGCGTCACTTGGCGCATTTCTGAACTCCATGGAAGTCCATCGCGTGTATCACTGTAATGTATCATCGTATCCTCGCGGACTATATAGAAGTTTGACGGCGCAGCTGAGAAAGCTTGCGATGGTTACACTTTCTGTACGATAGAGATTCTTCCGCTTGTCTGCCAACACCTGCCGCCGTCTCATCCGTCAAGCAGGGAAAAACGAATCCCCTTGTTTCATTTCTTAATTTTTCAAAGACCATGGCCAAAGGCTTCGACGCGAGAGGAATGCTGTAAGAGGGCCGGGAATTTCTTTTTTCGCGGACTCGCAGAAGTACCGACTTTACCTCGGAAGATTGATTGACTTCCGCAGGCTGTTTGTTTACGAACGAAGGTTGATTAGAAAGTGATCGAATCTGTCAGTTTGACAGGAAACGTCCTCGGTTTCATGGGGATTACCGCGTTATCTTGCGTGTGAGAGTTTATGCTTAGAGGAATAGAAAACAATACGGAAGGCACGAATCTGCTGAAAGGGCTCGCAGATCAGCTAGCGAATGTTTCTAGCTAGCCCTCGAGCTGCGAAACAAAAATTGCAATTTAATATGGTGTTCAGGGAAGGGAGTTGCAACGAAGAGTGTAGCGTGATTTTTTTAACAATTCGCGGAGACGAAATCTGCACGGTTTTATCGAGAATCAAAGAATGATGCTTCGGAGGATTGGAGGGATTCATTTCCGCGCCGTTGAGTCAGTGTGAGTTAATTTTTTTAGTGAGGGAAAAGAAGAGTGAAAGAGACACCTCGTTTTAGTACAATGGAGAGCGACGGTAATAAAGAAATTTTTTTTTTACCTGAGTAGGCATACTAGGCAATAACGGGTTCGAATGGTGCTCCGGTTATTGGAAAGGTGGAACCTTGATTGGTGCAAGCTTTTCGGTTTGCCCCCGTGTTACACGTCAGTGACCCTATTCGCGATCGCATCGGTCCCTCCAGGTCAGACGCATTTCTGTGATTGTTGAAGAGCGAGTCCGTTTTATTCCAGGATGACACGGGTCTCCCATGGGGACTTGTGCTCGCGACGAGCGTAGGCGTAGGCCAGTGATAGCAACCGTTAATTTTTCCCTGTTGGATGCCTGGAAACATCCTTGTTCTTGTTATTATGTAGGCAGCCGTCAGATATCGTTGATGTGCTTTTTTTCGTTTGTTTGTATTGTAGGGTTCCAGCGCAAATACGTACGCAAAGCTGGCCTCGGATTCAGTATTTTCCCCAGAGGTCGCTTCTTGTCAACTAAAACGCGGTTCTTCCTTCCGAGCTGAACTCCTGGCTTGAACACGCGTGTGCTCCATCTCGCAAGAAACATCCCCCGTTCCTTCTCCATCTTACTTCTCTTAAATGCCGTATTTACTTGAGTATCACGTGCACCTTTTTTCTCTCAATTGAAAGGAAACAAGAGGGGGTGGGCGAATTTTTAAATACCCGAATACTGTATTTATTCGAGTACCACGCGCACCTTTTTTCTCAGAATTGTAAGAAAAGAGGGAGTACGCGTCTTTGTTAGGATAAAATGTTTTTAAAATATTGAAAGTTTAGGTGTGCATCTCACTTGAATAGAATGGGAAAATTTTGGCAGGACATTTTTGGAATCTTAAAATGTATACATTTTCGGAATATTGTAGTTTTTCAGTCACTAAAAATGGAGTGCGCGTTTTTCACGGGGATAGGATTTTACGAAATTTTTGGACGAAAAGTTTGTCTCCTAAGTGTGCGTGTTACTTGGGTAAATATAGTATTTTCAGCCAGTTTCGCGTTTCGGAACAGCGCCTACCCAAAACAGCGCACGTTGAGCATAGAAAAGGGCACTGCGGAACAGTTTTTCAGAATAAGTTGCATTGGGACTCAGTGCTTTATAAATTTATATATTCTGAACAAGCTCAATGATCTTGAATGCAATGACAGAATTGAAAAGCATTCGAAAAATTTTTAAATCACGGATGAATTTTAAATTCATGCTTTCCTGGTCCTTTTTTCTGAGCCTGAATTGCTTTTCTTCTGAAGTTTTTGTCCAGTCTAAGCGACGCGCGCTGTTTTGGACTCGCTGTCTTGGGTCGGGCCGTTCTGAGAAAACCTCAGCTGTACCATCAGTATTTCCAGCCGCTCGAAGAACGCATTCTGTTTCATGAAACATTAAAAAACAATGTGTCAAAACATGAATACCTCAAATCGTATTATTTTCCTACGAGTATAAGCAATTGATGGAAAATCCCAACGTGAATTTGAGCGGGGTCATTTGTATCGTTAAAGTTGCCAGAAAAAGAAAAGAAAACAGCACAGCGAGCATTTTCTTAAGAGTTAATGTGCTTTACTGCCGCTTTCACGACCGGGGAAATCGTGTGATGAAAACTGTTGAAACGTTGTTATCGTGTTTCAATCTTTTAACCGAGGGAGAGAATTTTTTATTTTTCGAAAAAAAAAGCCGACGGAAGAAACATGTCGGAAGAGGTATATCTTCTCGGAGAAGGGACAACGATTTTTCACCACCCGGAAATATGAACCAGTCTTAATCTCATGCAAGGGACGACACTGAATTATGCATCGAATATGCATGTCACTGGAATCAATATTTAAAAGAAAATGAAGCGCAATCGGGTGAATTTTTGCAGCAGCAGCAGCAAGGTTTTGTAATCTCCGCTTTTATGAAGGAACGAAAACAAATTTGGACACGCGCTGTTCGGCCTCGAGAAGTTTTTGAAAAACGCATGGGAGAATCTGGAGTCGAAACTCATATTACAAAATTTATCTTGGCATAGAAAATCTTCGAAAAGCGTCGCAAGAAAAAAGTAGCTTGCCGAGTCTAATTAGGCGGCCTTCGCGGTTGATATTTTCGTTGAGCCCAAGAGATGTGCCACCCATTGTTTCCGCGTTTGTTGGAAAGATTCGAGGAAAATTTGAGACTGTTGTTGTCATGGGATGTGATAAGTTCCAATCAAAGTTCGGTAGGATGGCTCTTGCTTTGCGCGGCGAGGCTCTCGATTTCGTTTGGTTCCTATTTGCGTGGCTGTAATGAATGGACGAATTTGCCTTATGATTTCATTTCAATTGAGCAACTCGACCGGCGTTCCTTTCTAAAAACCCGCCAGGAGTATTCGCGATTTTGAGCAAACTTTGACTGGGTTTTATTTCTGGAGCAAGGACGTCGAAGCGAGGAATTAAGGGGAAGGTGTTTTTTGCGCAGTGATGGTATCATTGCCGATTCCTGTTTTCGTATCTCTCCCGTATGCCGATTCGGCAGAACAATTAGCTCGGATGCCGGACATCCCGGCGTTTCTGTTTCATTGCATTTGACTTGATTTGAAATTTCTTGTGTGTTTTCTTTTTTGTTCTCATGCTGCTCCTGGCTGCACGCATTAATCGTTCTGAAGTAAAACTGTGCCATCGGGCTTTTCTCAAAGAAATCAACTGATGCGTCTTTTGGGTTTCTTCCCTTCAACGCCCGAATTGTATTTCTATAATTTTAGGCAGGTGTCGCTAGAATGGCTAGTGTTGGCAACATGTGCGTGCCCCTACCGACCTGTGTTTTATGCTTCAGATCTTACAAAATCTATGTCAGAGCTCTTCAAGATAAGTACGTACAGTACAACAGGCGGACCTTGATGTACACTTCTCTTTAATCGCTGTCCGCATTCCTTCATGACCAATGTTTACATGCATCCTAACAGAATGATCTTCCTGCTCAAACCTATAATGTATATACGTATAATTCAAATTTATGGCTGTTTATCGTGTGGACCCGAGGAACAGTATGCATTAAGCAGCAGTAACTATGTTTATTTTGAAAAAGTTAATGACTTGAGCAAATGAAGTACTCTTGCCTCTAAATTCAGCCTTTTGTCAATTCATTCACCCAAAGGTTCAAGACCCAGGCAATCGCTAGTTGTAACTATGCCTATAATTCTCAATTTTTTGTCTAGCAAAAATGCTGCTTTCCCCAACTCAAAAACAATTCAAGTTTAATTTTTGCGGATCTCTCCGTTTAATTCATCGAGGCTCAAATGTACAGTATTTGGGAAGCAATAAACTGTAAGGGAATTTTGGTACTGGATCGGCAAATTTTCATAAATCAACAACCGCATGTTAGTCAGCTATGCTCATTGAAACCTTGACCATGCAAAATTTCTATGAATTAAAACTTCTGAGCAAGATTGCTCAAGATTATCTCTCAACGTCTCTGTCATCTGTGGCGAGAAAGAACAATGAGAGCCAGAAGATGCCGAGGGTCTGATAGAAATACTGAACCTTGAATCCTTTTTGCAGACCTATGCGAAACTGCTGCTTTAGCACAATCGGAAATTTTTCCTGCAGTATTTATCCGAAATACAGTTCATATTGCGTTGGTTAACAGTAAGTAACGACCTTCTTCGATGCCTTAGAGGTTATAAGCATTTACAGTACAGTACTGTGAAGTATTATTTTTCATCAGTGAGCCCAATGCACAGATCGGCAAAAATAAGCAACGTTAGCACAACATACATGAACTGTGTTAAATGAAAACATGTTTACCGAGTTGTTCATGCATTCGTATTCGCTTTATTATCATGATCATTTCGTGGCCAGAAAATTGTAACACATGCCAAGTTTTGCGATTCACAAAGAAAATCAAAGCGATTTGCCTCAGCCAACGATGCAGAAGAACGACTCATCAACGACGAAGCCAAAACATGCTTTCAGGTAATGCGTTCGCAGTACAAAGGTGCCGCTTCTTGGCAAGGCAAACTCATTTTCTTCGAATCCGACGAACAGTTCGTCGGACATATTCAATATTTTAGAAAACAACTCGCTGCTCGACTTCAGGGCCACTTAATCGCACAACAATCAACTGCATCCTCAATCCACGCATTACGCCGTGGTTCACCCATTAACCCATCAAACTGACTTCGCTACAGTCGAAACAAACGCGAAACAAAAACATGAAAAACTCGGAACGTACGTGAAACCAAAACAGGGTGCATAACAGCATGGAGAAAGCAAAATCACAGGAATAATGGCTGAAAAATTTGGCTTCGCCCACTTGATTTGATGGAAAAATCAATGCCAACTTGCCTTCGAATGTAAGCTGTTTCTTTGGCATGAGTCGCAAGCCGCGAAGACGGCTCGAAACACTTGGTTTCTTCCAAAAAAAAAAGGGCACTCGGTGTTACGCAGTGACAATTCACAGGAAACTACCCCATGGAACGAATTGCATGGACGGTATGAAAAAATAACGCTAATCTTTTTTTTCAGAATCTCTTGATATTTTTTTGCAACAATAATTCGTACGCACTTCGCCCGCATTTTTCGAATAACGAACGCGCGGAAAAAGCAATGCAACCAGCAAGGTGAATCTTTGGACAACTGGAAAGCGCACTCTTCCTACACTGCAAAACATGTCAGAGTGCTACAAACCATTTCGAGAATATTAACAATGCCGCACGTTCTGACGTGCGATTTGATCAAATTCGCCGCGGAAAAAAAATCTTTCACCAACTCTGCCTGCAGTATCCAAGTTGGTTTCCTGAGAATCGTCACGGCATCCGCGCACACATCGCGTTTTTTTTTTTTTCTTCAATGACACAATCGAACGACGCTGCGAACCACGATTGGAACCAATCCTAAGGGTTTTCTGGCTCGTTCGAAATCAGTCTAACCCGAAGTATCCGTAACAATCTACCACCATTCGGAAGAAACCACTCGGATGCATCTAAGCCCTCTAAGAAGCAAACGAACACCCTGGAATTGAGACATAAGGGGGGGAAGAAGGTACAAAAAATGAACAACGCATTTCTTTTTGCTTTTCGAATTCATCAGGAAGCTAAAATCTAATCCTGCTTCTCTTGGATGCTATGGTGCGTGCCGTCACCAGTTCGCAGGGCACGCTTCCGGATCATGTCGTCGTCGACTGACTTCCGGTCGTAGGCCTGTCCAATAACCGCCATCGTGTCGATGAACAAGGATGTTAGGTTTGTGGAATAAATCCCCAATTCTGCGGTTTTGTAGTCCCAGGGGAAAGTGTGGTGGTAGTTGTGCCAGCCTTCGCCGAACGCAGCGAGCGCCACGCCCAGGTTCTCGACAGCGTTGATTGCCCTGTTGACACGCACACAATCAAAAACTTTTCTTCGAACCCAGGATATAAGAGGTACAATTAAAAGAAAAAAAGGGAAGTTTCTGCGTAAATTTTTTTTGACTTCGAGCTATTGAATTTTTCCTTCGAAATTTGAACCGCGTCCATTTAAAAACAAGTCGCGTGAGGAAATAATGATACTCAAGGCGCGGCAATCATATACACAGTATTTTCTTTGAATGTAAGTAGTAGATGGCATTTCATTCAAGCATTTATAAAATTTACCGATGAATACTGCAAGATTACGGAAAGCCGAACAGCACGTAGAACAACTTCCAAGTTCACTTGTGGAAGAAATGCAAGGCCAGAATATTTTCATGAACCTCAGGGAAAAAATGCCTTCGATTCATTCCCTCAAAGTGACACTCGCACTTCTCGCGAATGCAGAAAAAATTGAGGATTCTATCTCGAACTTTTTCAAGGATAAAATGCCGCAAATAAAATTCCCATGGAAAAATTGCGAAGTGAGACAAAGCAGTGCAGTAAATAAAATTCCTCTGGCAGACGAAATATTCTGACAGAAATTAAAACTTAGTACTAATGCAGGATTCTAATTTATGATCATTTTTGCGTTCTCTCCCGAAACATTTTTCTCAAGGTGATATTTCTCTTACTGGATTTTCACCCCACGTAAAATCTGAGCATACAAGTTTTTTTTTTTTAAATCGTTTCTTCTTGAATTCATTCTCAAATGGCTGTTGAGTAATTTTTCATTGAACCTGTCCAAGGAAGCAATACATTGTCACGAGAATGATCATGGTAAAACAGTATATCAATGAACTTCTTCGCAATACTCACTTGTCGTAGGGCTTGTTGCCGAACAAATGAGCTACAGAGTTGACGAGCCATGTGAAGTTCAGTGTCACCACGTACCTCGCCGAGACACAAACCATGTAAGCCACCAACAGGTCCTCACCCCAGAAGTACCACGGGATGAAGGTTGGCAAGAAGACGGAGAAAATAAGGACTCCGGGGATGTAGTATCTTAAAAATTTAAAGAAGCGCATGAAAAAGTAAACCAAAATCGATCCATCTAGCGGGACCAGATTGCTTTTCGTGACGACACATTTCCAGAACCTCGGAATAATATCGAAAAAAAATAACAACTAACTTGAAGACAAGCGTGACAAAAGTTGCACTCGCTTTTAAAAATTTATAAAGTAAGGTGGAAATTCCATGGCGCAAAAATTTTTTCGCCCTCATTATTGCTTTCGCGGAGACTAAAAAGTTTGCAAAGCAGCTCCATTTTGCTGTTGAGAAATGACTTGCTACTCTGCTGAAATACGTGCGTACAGGGCATACAAAATTCAACGGGTAGAAGTTTCTTGGGGCCACGGATAAGAATTCAGCCCTTTTCTAATAACTCAGAAGTTTCCCCTCGGCTAGAAGAACATTTTTTGCCGACGAGAAGCAATTTCGTTTATTCCAGAACATTAGATCTGCTTTTCCAACAGGGTTTCATTGCTTACTTGTGCTGGTAGTAAACGACAGGATCAGCCAAAACGTCATCCATGGAAACAGTTTTGCCTTTGTTGAGAACATCAGGATGCTTCTTGTGCAAAAGCCAACCCACGTGGGCAAAAAAGAACCCACGCTTGACATTGTGCGGATCGGCGTTGGTTTCGCTGAACTTGTGATGTACTCGGTGGTCGCGAACCCAAATATAGATGCTATTCTGAAATTGAAATTAGTTGCATCGTTAGGTAAAAGTAGGAATATTCAGTGGTAAAGATTTTCCAAGTAAATCCATTTCTTTAGTAGGTTTTCAAATCATACCGCGGATTTGTAGCGAGGTTTCATCCTCAAGGTATCCGAAAGGTTACAGGAGAATATAAAAATGCATTTATCAATTTTATCATTTTTCTTTCTTCCGAGGTACATTACCGAGAGACATTCTTTTCGCGTGGGAATGTCGCATTAGAAACAATCGCATGTTAGCACAAAGTCATCGCAGGTTTCATCTGTTTCTGGTTTCTTTGTTCATACAGTACATGCACTACAAGAAATAGTTTCAACATCTCAGGGTTGATTGAGGCAAGATGACGTTTTAGAAGAATTGATGAGAATTCTTCAATCATGATCAAGCTTCAAGCCATTTTTCCAACATTCTGGATTTCAAGACAACAGGAGAAACAAATTAAGCTATCACGTAAAAACGATCTGCACAAATAGTGACGAGTAAAACATTTTCAATAGTAACGAGTTAAAATATTTTTCGGAGTAAAAATCTTTTCGGTGCATAGAGCGCATCGATTTCTGTTGAACTTCGGCTTTTGATTAATTGAACATTTGAAACCATATCAAAAATTCCGTCTTTCCTCCTTTCCTCAATATTTCTTAAAGCCCAGCCCTTAAATCATGCTTCATAGCAACGTCAACGAGGGATTTTACCCAGAATTCTTCAGAATGGTCCGGTCTACAGAGATCTTATGGAAATTAAAAGACGCATTCCTTCGCAAATCCTTCAAAAGCCTACTGCAGACTTTCCCCCCCGAACCCACCAAGCATGTTCTGTCCGACTTTCGGAAAAAATAGTATTTCCGCAATAAAAAAAAGGGGCTTCCAGTCTGATGCGAAGCTTAAACACAAGAAGGGTTGAGAGGGTTCGGTTCAGTACTCGGAAAATGCGGTTGCAGCTCTTCGTTGACGCGTCTGTTGCAGCATCCTCGGAAATCTGATCCCGCTCAATAAAAAATTAAATCCTCCCGA